TGATTTGTTAGGAACTTCAGGGCACTGTGATGGACAGATGGGAAGTGACGGGGAAGGGGCTCAGGGCATGGGCGCTGGCCACACCTCATTTACTCTGAGAACTGTTTATGTTGACAAACTACGATATGTGCAGGTGGCAATTCCAATGGTGTTACTCCTTTGAAAAACTTACAGTTTAACAAAATGAATTCCAGGAATCCAGAACGTGTATTGTAGAGGCAATGGGGGGGGGGGGTGAGGTCAAGGGGAAAGTGGTCACACCAATGGAGAGAGGTAAGGTGGTAGGTAAATGCAGTCACAATATTCAATGTACACATATGAAAATGGAACCATGTAAACTGAGGGGATAGGTGGGTGAGGAGACGTGGAGAATGCTGGAAAGGGCGACATTCATCAAAGTACACAGCACCCACAAACTGATGTTGAATTGAAACCCCGTTGTACAACTTGTTGAAGGATTTTTTAAAATAACCTTAGTGACTCCAGATTCTCTAAAAGCAAGTGATTTATTTCTGCTTTAAAGTGATTTCCTTGGTCCAAGTCTGCCACGCCTACTCCAGTGGAGTCTGCTTAGCATGGGAAACCATCTATCAGACCTAAGAAAGGGGCTTCAGAGACCTATCTCTGAGTTTTGGGACTTCACCAAAGTCTACCTCAGAGAATGGGGCTTCAAAGAGGCCTACCTCCTGGAAAGGCTGGCAAGCCCCTGGGAAAGATGTGTTTCTGCCTTTCTTTTCCTCACTGTATAAGAGTGCCTATTAATCTTTTACTGTTTCTACTGCTCTTTATACTTACTCATTGTCAACGTTCCCTTATTCAAAGCTCTTTCTTAAGAGTGTTGACGACTCCAATATCTGATGAGTGTCTTAAAAATATGACTAACTCACCAGAGTTAAGTGCTACCCTGAAACCCCTCTTATGGAGGCTAGTAGACAAGCCATAAGTAAATATAAAAGTATTGGGGGTTTCACGATGTCACTTCAGCAGAAGGAATTGTTTGTAAGAGATTTACAAAAAGCTGTAGGCGTGGCTAGAACAGAAAGAATGTATGGCAATTGCTGAGATAACTACTTAGGAGAAAGAACTTCCTATTACTCTCTTTCATTTACTAAAAGACTTGCTAGATCTAAGTCTCCTTGGTGTTTACTATTAAAGAAGGAACAGAAAAGATCTTATGGGACAGTTAAGGCCTCTAAAGAAATAAGGTAATGGTTAGTTGGTGACAAACATCAAAACCCATTATATTTCTTAAAGATAAGCCGGAAACAAGTGCCTTTCAGGCGACCAGCTGTTGACCACCCAAGAATGAAGCCATGCAGCAAGATAATGTAACCTTTTGCCCTTTCTTATGGATACTTTTTGCTATAAAAGTTTGTTATCCTCTGCATTAAATCGCACTCAGCACTCAGCATCCACTCCTCTTGTGTGTGAGTTGTCTGTTTGCCATCTCCCCACCTATTCCAGTTCCTCCCCTAGGTGTCCTCCGTCGTCCCGACAGAACCCGGTCAGCAGCACAAGTCAATCAGTAAAGGAACACCATGTGCTACAACATGGATGAACCTTTAGGAATTATGCTAAGCGGAATAAGGTAGTCATAAGATACTATATGATTTCATCCATATGAGGTATATTAAGTAGCTGAATTTTTATTGTTTTTTTTTGGGGGGGGGTCCGGTCGTGGGGCCTGAACTCTGGGCCTGGGCACTGTCCCTCAGCTCTTCAGCTCAAGGCTAGAGCTCTACCACTTGAGCCACAGCGCCACTTCCGGCTTTTTTCTTTTTGCTTACGTGGTGCTGAGGAATCGAACCCAGGGCCTCATGCATGCAAGGCAAGAGCTCTACCACTGAGCCACCTTCCCAGCCCCATAGTAGCTGAATTTTTAATACCACATCAGATGGTAGTTACCTGGAATGGGGACATGGAGAAAGAGGGACTGCTTCGTTTTGCAAAATAAGTAAGTCCTAGAGATATGAATATGCTTAGTACTATGGAATTATAACATAAAATTGATGAAGATGGGAATTTTGTCAGTCGGTGACCTTGCCCAACTCCCTGCATGGCACAGCCACCAGCTGTGAATTCCAGCCCCTCAAGCCAACCATTCTCACCTTTGTCCTCATGAATCCAGGTAAAAGTAGGCCTCATCACTTCAGACTGGCAACCATGGGACAGTGCTGCCCTGGAGGAGCATGGTGACAGTTGCTTCCAAGTGCACAAGAGAAAGTGAGAGTTGATTGTCCCATTCACTCAATTCCACCAATCTTTCATAGAAAAGGGCTTCACGGAAGTGAAGTGAGTGCTTTCTCAGGAAAGTGTAAAACACAGGAAGAATGAGAAAACCAATACAGCCATACGTGCTGTCAGCCAAAATGAACTGTGGCACTAGGAAAAGAAGAGAGGAGACAGTGCCCAACATGGGCAGGCTAGGGACGAGGCTGACGAGGCTTGTGCAACCAACTCCTTCTCCTTTGGCTAATTCCCTCAAGCAGATTCAAACTTAAGCAGAATAAGCAAATTCCAGCTTATTGGTAAGTCCTCTTTATTTACAAGTACAAGTCTCTAAAAGGTCAAGGTAGTTATCTTTTAAATAATACATCAATCATATAAAACAACTAGAACAAAGTAGAGACATATATACATTATAATACATTAAGTACTTTTAATATTGTTAATGGAGGTTTGTCATATTAAATTAAAAGACTATTATGATTTACAATGTTATTTCTCTAGTTTAAAATTCAATGTCAAAAGACATAATGTACATTTTTACAAAACTAACACAGCAGTATTAATAAAACTGCTTATGATTGTAATCTTCATTTTTTTCTATAATACACTGCACCCGTGTTACAAAGACAAACACAAAAAGGCATTGCACTAGATGGCCGAATACTGCGTAAGTCAGTGTGTCAACACTTCAGGAAAAAAGATGACCTCCTCAGTTTCCCCATCTGGCTCATTTACAATTGGTTCACTCTCCAAGCACACCCTACTTTCTACAGGTAGATTATTTTCCTTGGCAGTTTGAAACAAGCGCCCTGCTATTGGGCAAAATGCCAAAAAGCTGACAGTTACAAGGCTATCATAAAAGCTGATACAATATGACCAACCCAACCATTTATAATACTCAATAAAAGCCAAAGCTAGAAAACCACTCCTGAATCTCAAGGAAAAACTTACACATCTTTCTGTAGGAAAGTTTGAATATCTATAAAGTTCTCAAGAGATTACAAAAAAGGGCTTGCAATAGCTTTGTCTACTCTTTTATTTTCCTTAGGCTGGAATAAGAAAAGGTAAACCATTTCTATATTTTTGTTAAGTTTTGATGGCATCAAAAAGCTTCACATTTATAAATAAGATTTTCATATAAAGCGATATGTTGGCATAGTTTTCTCATGCTACTATCAATTATTTTCAGGATTCATCTTGTATTATAAGGATTTCTAAGCACAGATTTTTTTTCCTCATTCCCAACTTTTCAGCATTAATATTCTCTAGGCACTGAAAAGGAGTTCAAAAGAGGAAAACCATTCAGTGCTTAAACTGAGCAGCAGTCTCCAAGTACCTTATGTCTGATATCATGGTCTAAACAAGCAGCTGGGGGCCAAGAATGTGTTGTGCCACACAGAAGACACAGTTGAATTGTGAGTTTCCCCTTTATAACACAGGCCCAGAAGATAGTTAAAGCAGTAACTCTTGCTTCAAAATGTTTAACCATGAAATTACCACAGGCTGCAGTGTTTTCCAAGTCATGGGCAAGGAAATGAAACCTGGCATGCTATGTTATCATCAAGAGCTATTTTTATGGAACATTTCAGCTATGCACATGGTTCTGGAATGAAAACAAAGAAGCAACCCTATTACAGATAGGGGAAGACACCTTCCTAGCTCTACAGGATAAGTAACCCTACAAAATGACCAATATTGGCATCTCCAGTCTGACACAAAATCATGAAAAGCTAACCATGTTCCAATCCATCTTTCACCTCTGTATAACTGTTTCACTTGTTACTGATAGCAAAACTAAAATCATCAGTGTTTTACATATCTTCAAAGGCACACATACAAGTTTAAAAACAGTAAGGGGATTCTTGTCAGATCTGCCATAAGCCCTTGGTCAACTTGCTTCTGAGTTCAAAATTAACCATGTTTTTAATAAGCACCAAATGCCAAACCACTGCCTTCATTCTCTAAAGCAAACTTTCCAAGATGTTCCTACATCATGTACTTTTATATAATCTGAAACTGGATACATTCAGCTTTCTTTTTTTTTTCTGTGACTACTAATATGCTCTTTTAGGATGTCTAAAAACAGTGGAATCCTTAAACCTTTACAAATCTCCAAATTATCCTTGCTACAAAAAGAAGCCAAGAGAAAATATTGTGGCTTACAATATTTCCTCAAAGTTCAGTACTTCTGATCACTTTTTTTAAAACAAACAAAATTGCTGGCTATTGCCAGGCGCTGGTGGCTCTTGCCTGTAATCCTAGCTACTTGAGAGGCTAAGATTTGAGGCCTGCAGTTCAGAGTCAGCAGGGGCAAGAAAGTCTGTGAGACTTTTTTCTCCAATTAACCACCAAAAATCAGGAAGTAGAGCTGTGGCTCAAGTGGTCAAGTGCTAGCCTTGAGCAGAAAAAGTTCAGGGCCCTGAGTTCAAAATTCTAGGACCAACACACACAGAAGGAGGGAAAGAGGGAGGGAAGGAGGGAGGAAGGGAAGGAGGGAAGGAAGGAAGGAAGGAAGGAAGGAAGGAAGGAAGGAAGGAAGGAAGGAAGGAAGGAAGGAAGGAAGAAAGGAAGGAAGGAAGCCATTAAGTTCCTTAATGGAGCTGGGAAGGTGGCTCAGTGGTAGAGTGCTTTGCCTTGCATGCATGAGGCCCTGGGTTCAATTCCTCAGCAACACATAAGCAAAAAGAAAAAAGATGGAAGGGGCACTGTGGCTCAAGTGGTAGAGCGCTAGTCTTGAGCTACAGAGCTGAGGGACAGCGCCCAGGCCTAAAGTTCAGGCCCCATGACCAGACCGCCGCCCCCCCCCCCCAAAAGAAGTTCCTTACTAAGAATAACTTTATATATTGAAATTTCTGAATAGCAGAACCAGGTCAATGTACAGAAAATTAAAAAGCAGTTATGTCCACAGAATAGACTTTTGTAACTCTAGCCACCACTTAAATTGCTGGTTGTGTTGAAAGATACTTACTATGGTTAGAAGCAACTAAGTGCTTCCTTCTCACCCAATTTCCTGAATTGGGTCTGATTTTTTTTTTTACATCAAAAAATGCTTTATTAATTAAAAATCCTTTAGGGATTCAGTAATTCTAGACTCATTTATTACGTTTCCCTGAAAATGAGAGAGAAAAAACAGAAACCTAAAAACTGAGCACTTGCAGATAAGTGCATTTAACATATTAATTACACAAAATAAGCTTTTAACAACAAGCTTTTAAGAATTACTCCAACATAAAGGGGGTATAAAATTAATAGTGTAATTCTCATCATCTACTGAGAAGATAGAATTTTAATATACCACATACACTTGAAGCTGGGACATTCAGAACATGGCAGGATTCTCAACTTAAGCCAAATTTCTCAATAAAAAACAGGGCTATCCTGTTTAACATCACATTAACAAATGAAACACTTATTTTTTTAAGATTTCAGAACTCCTAATAATATATAACATTAAATTATTAGATATGAAACATACACCAAATTCAACAGTGCTACAAATGCTTTCTAGGTAAAGAATGTGTGAAATGTGAGAGTTACAGGGACAATCACAATCTATTTAAGATAGCGTCTGCTTCTTCAAACAATTCAGTTAGCAAATTACAAGAACTCAGTTTTTCATCTTATCTTCTGGTCTCTAATCTTTGCCATTTGAGATGGATCTGGATTTAGCTGAAGTGTGAATATGTCAGACAGCTTCCAAATCTATGGACAGTTTAATTCGAAGGCATCAAAAAACAAAGAGCAAATTAATGGAGTTTGTACCCTTCTGTTATAAACAGTCTAAAGACTCATGACACTGAAAGGTCTTTGTATCATAGTCTATTTCAAATGATGTGTTAGATTTTAGCAATTCAGATCCAACCCTGTCCAGTGGTCTGGTACCATGAGGAAATACTTGTCCATTGCTTCACAAAACCTAGTCCGATACAACTCTGGAGAGACTACAGTGGGCATTTTACCTAAGATTATGAAAGACAAAGGGAAAGAAGTTGTTATACATTTATAATTGACTGAACAACTGCCAATCACCTATGCTTTTCACATAAAAGTGCCATCCATATGCCAGACAGTCTGAGAACGTAGGTAGGGCTACAGTGCTGTGCCACCTGGCGCAGGGCAGGCCCCTTCCTGAGGGCAGTTTCTTCTTCAAGAGATGAGCTCGAGATATCTAAGTGCACAACTTAGGCTAGCAGCACTTTAAGAACTTCAAGATAACTAGTGTTAATCAACAACTAGCTCTTATTCAGAATCTCTGGCTTTAAATAAAAACCCTTATTTGAAAACCCCTAGGATTTTAAAACAAATTTAAACTCAGTATTTTCCCACTTACATAATTCCTGTCATCTAGTTATTTTGGAAATTATAAAATAACTACGTAATTTTTAACTTAAAAAAATCAGCGACTACTTTTTAAGTCATAACTAAAAAGGAAAACATAGGAGTTAGCTTGAAGAGTAAAGAAAACAAACACTTGCTCACCTTGTCCACCTAAAATTCCTGTTGATTTCACAACCATCTCAAGCTTTTTGTCCCATGTAAATGTTCTAATATAATCTAAGAGGGGGAGGAAACACGCAAAATAAGCACCGGTTTTGTAAATAAACATAGGCATATAAAAACATCCATGACTATTATTACTTCTATGAGAATGAACTTTATTAAGTGCTAACACTATGCCCACTGCTACTCTGTGTTTTCCCCCACATCAATCTGTTTAATCCTTACAACAATAAACCAGGGCCTTCTTTTTAAGTAATTTTAAAAAAATCTTCATATTAAATATTTTCATATTTAATGTAGACAATGGAAATAGAAATAAGGAAAATGGATACAATGGACTAGAGTGAAAAACCATTACTTTTGAAATCTAAAATGAAAGTTTGTGGAAATATACTAAGCTACTAATAGGTCCAAGTTCAAAAAATTCTTATGATTTATTCCAGCTTCAACAGTGTGTTATGAGTATTGCTATTGACTTACCTATAATTCCAACTACCAACTCATTGTTTGTATCATCTCGCCCAACCAGCAAAGAATAATCTATAATGAGGTGGCTGGAAAGGAAATGAGAGTCACTGTGGATGGAAGTTCTCAGTACAGCTTTAGAATGAGAACGAATATACAGAGGGTTGTCCCGAACCATCTTTAGGAGATTTTCATCCAGCAGGACCACATCACAACTCTCTTTCCCAGTGTCCATTTTTACATTTCGATTCCTAAGTGAACCCTTCAAATCAAAAACCTAACAGAAAAAAAAAAATATTTGTCACTTATGTGCAATGTTACAATGCTTAACTAAATTAAACTAAAAAGGCAAAAACACTCATTGTAGTCTCTACTATTAAATTTCTTTACAAAATTTAATTATAACTTTTATAATTTAAATCATTAAATGCATGGCAATATTTTCTTACACATAAAAGACAGAGTGATATGATTGTATCATATGAAATTCTCAGATTCTGAGTTACTCAAACAATTTGGCAATAATCTGTTCCATTTAAGAACCTTCACAAGAAACTCCAAAAAAAAAAAAAACTGATCATAAAGCAGTAAAAAGCAAGAGATGCAAATAATCTCAGAAAATTAAAATTTTTACACCAACCCCCCCCCCGTGCAATTACTTATGGCAATGCAGAAGCAACAGCTATGAATAGGAATATTCAAGTGGCAGGAAAAGCAATGTACTCAAAGGTGAAGGTCTGCACAACATTCTGCAGACCAGTGCTGCTTGGCTTTTCCTGGCTAATGATGATGCTGAGGAGCCAGAATGGTTACTAAGCACCTAGTTTACTTGAGCTCAGACTCTTCTTATACAAAAATATGCAAAATGAAGAAAGCAACAACTGGGTTATAGTCAGGCACGAGCTCTTTATCTTCAGACTGGAAACAGTGTGAGGACCAGCTCTTTGAAGAGCATTGCTGTAGCTCTAGACAAACCTGAAATCTAAAAGCAACAAAGTGACTTTGATAAGGTACCCAATCTCTGGGTCTCAGCTAATTCATTTTAAAACTGACATGGCAAATGTAGATCCACTTTCTTAGTCTACCAATTCTGTGACTCTAAAATATTGGAAATGTAAATTTAAGAAACAGGTCATAAATAATTTTTCTTTAGACTGTCTTTCAATAAGTTTAAAAGTTACATGTATTATTAACCAAAACTAAATTATTTACCATAAAATAGGGTAGTAATTGGATTCACTGTATTTAAGAACCAGAAATACAAAGTGCTTCACATAGTACAGTATCTTACCTGAGCCATCTTTCTCCCATAGAAAAGATTTTCCATGACAAGGAGGTCTAACTTCTTCTCAGTATTGTTCTGAGAGTTCTTATAACCAATTCTGTAAACTCCAAGAATTTTGGCCAGAGCAGTAGGCCTCTATTCAAAAACAAAAAACAAAGATGAAAGCTAACACTTTAACCATAAGGATTATTTGTAATTTAATATCAATGGCTGCATTATTCATGTAATAAACAAACATGACTTTTTATTCATATAACAAGAGGACTTTGAAAGAAATCTCACCCTGAGATCTCATAAGTTAGTGTACCAGCAATGCCAATAAAAATAGTAGATCTTTCAATTCTCCAGAAGATGAGCGTTCATAGTTATTTAAACTCAAAACCTTTACTATGACATGTAATTTCCCCTTAATAAACATGTAATAAAACATAATTAGAAAAGTAAACAAAACTATTAACTTCTTTATAAGTTCATGGGGTTGTGAGTTCAGTGCTCAATGACAAGTAGACACAAGTCTTTCTCATCAATTCTCAACAAATGACAAATTACTAAATGTACAACTAATTTCATCTAGTTTTAATATTTTAATATATACACCAATTAAAAGGAACTTGCTTGAAGTCATTTGATGCCTCAGTGGCAAGGACAAAAGAAATAAAGTTTGAAATCTCTGCATTCTATTGTATACCTCATAGCATAGAGAGATCTAAGTATGCTCTGCTCTTATCACAGGAAAACTGACAAGAGGACTAACCTTCAAGATGTGAAAAAGACAAGTAAACTTTCAGTATACACCAAGAGTTAGGATTTCTACCTTTTGTTGCACAGCATTTGTAATATAATTGAAGTAGTGTGGTGCAAAGTCGAGGAAAGACTGGACTTCCAGACGAGGCATTTGCTTCAGAATGAATCTATCATCTATAAAGGCAGAAAGTTCATGTACACTAAGACATAATATATATTTTCAACTACAATAAATAATCCTAGAGGTCCCAAATTATCTGCTTGATTTTGTTTTTAAGGAGTATTTTTTGCTGTCACAATGGAATTTTTTATGAGAACACAGCTTTCTTTTGAAAAGCTAGAAGGGATCCTCTAGCTTCTACTTTTGATAGTACCACAGTCAATTTCATTGTTAGATCATTTAAATTTTTGCACTATCAAGTAAAATTTCATCCACCTCGCTGCTAACAATCCAGTAAGTCAGATTTATGAAAGTTCTTTTCAGGTAGCAAAATTCTTGTAATTTCTTAAATAATTTTGCTTTCTGTGGACAGAGAGAATAATAAATATAAACGGTCATAATATTCTGTAAATATTCCCATATTGTTCTCTCATCAGTTCATTTGAGTTTTGTACAAGTTCTATTTCTATCTACATTTAGAGAACTCAGAACTAGACAGTTTAATAATGACTTCATTGTCTTAGTCTCATTACAAAAATGTATGTGCTTATCTTTTAAAGAAATATCACATCTTCTCACAAATAGAAATATAGCTAGAAAACGTTATAAACAGTCAATACTGTAGTTTAACAGTTCAAGTAATGTGTGAATGATCTCAAGGGGAAAAAAATGGACAATACTAACCAGTAAATGATTAAAAAAAAAAAAGACTTACCTTCCGTGGCATAGAAGGCAGCTCCCGATTTGCCCCCTCGAGCCTGCCAGGGGGAGGAGTGGGACAGGGAGCGGATGAAGTCTTCCTCACTGCTGCCCAGAATCACTTCACGCATCTTATGGAACTCTCCCGCATAGTACAGACGGCAGTAAAACTTGGCATTAGCATCAGAAAACTCTACACAGAGAAGTTAAAAAAAAAACTCTTTTAATAAGTCGGAAAATGTCTGTCTATTCCACCAAGCACTGAATGCCACCATTTAGGTTTTTCTGTGACCAGTGTCTTTTAGGTGAAGTCTAAATCCCCATATAGCACAATTTGGATAAAGTGATCTTCAGAGTGATTAGAGAACATTATCTACTCACTATTACTTATTTGCAAAATAATTAAAAGTTCTAATTTCACACTGGCTATTATTATTTTATACCAATTTTGTTGCTGTTGTTGTTAGTCATGGGGTTTGAACTCTGGGCCTGGGAGCTATCCCTAAGCTCCTCAGCTCAAGGCAAGCACTCTACCACTTGGGCCACGTACCACTTCTGGTCTCGCAGACTTTCCTGTCCAGGCTTGCTTTGAACCTTGATCCTCAAATCTCAGACTCCTGAGTAGCTAGGATTATAGGCGTGAGCCACCAGCGCCTAGGTGAAATTCTTAATAAGCATCTTAATGTCTGTGAATCTTAGTGGCTCTCAATGACCTAGTTAAAAAATTCTTAAATATTAAAACTTAAAAGTAGAATTTTTAAATTATAATGAAATTTATAAATTAAATGATACATATTCCAAATGAAATTTATAGATTAATTAAACCTATTTCAACATAGATTTAATATGCATTTCTGAAATATTCGATAGGCATGATGGGTACCTATAATCCCACCACTTGAGAGACTGAGGTAGGAGCACCATGAGTTATAGGCCAAACTAGGCTACAAAGCAAAACTACATCTCACACTCATGAACAAACCAAAAGCAAGAAGAAGGGGCAGGATACTAATCGAGTACAAATCTAAAAATCTCACATAATGGAATTTGCTCAGTTATGGTCACTTTATATATATTATTATATATATTATATTATATATATTATTGCATACTTACGAAGTTCTATATGAGGATTTGTGAGTTGTTTCTTTTGTGTATCTCCTCCATCTATTTCATCTAAAGATTTAATATCAGGAATAAAAGTAAAATTTTAGATTAAATTGTCCTTTCTTTTCCCGGATACAGCAACACAAATTTGCAAGACAACTATAAAAAGATTTGAGTTAGGCCAGGCACCAGTATCTCATGCCTGGAATCCTAGATACTTGGGAGGCTGAGGCATAAAGATCAAAGTTCAATGCTAGCCAAGAAAGCTCTGAGAGATACCATCTGCAATTAACTAGGTAGGTCTGAAGAGATGGCTCAAATAGTAAAGTGCTAGCTATGAGCAAGCAAAAACAAGCTCCCCTAAGCCCCATTATAGAAAAAAAAATTGAGTTAAGTTACTACCATATAAGCACTGTATTCAGATGATTACAATTAAATGTATATGATTTTATGATCACTCAATGTGTTAAAAAAAAAAAGAGAAATGAAAAGAGAATTTGGGTTGAATACTTTTTCTGACATTTAAGTGATTCCTATGGTAACAATACAGTAACTCAGCTCTTACAGTATGAATTTCCTAGCCTTTTTTTTTTTTTTTACAGTGCTGGAGCTTGAACTCAGGGTCTTGTGATTACTTGCTGGTGCTCTACCATTTGAATCACATCTCCATTCTTCTTTTTGCTGGTTGTTTTGGAGATGGGGGTCTCCAAGACTTTTATGCCCACGCTGATTCTGAACCACAGTTCTCTGAATCTCAGTTTCCTGAGATATAAGGAATATAAGCACAAGCTACCAGTGCCTAGCTCCATGGCTTCTCTATAAAGTATATGATCAGGTTTTCCCAGGTGTATGGAATGATGTTTCCCTAGCTCATTAGTCTTAATTAGTTTTTTTATTTTTATTTTCCTGGTCTTTCTGGCAAACCTACTGCTAAATCCACTGTGTTTATGGTAGATTCATTTTAAAATAAATGTAGATATAAATAGCCAGTCTTCCAGAGATCAGAAAAGGAAGAAAACATAGGAGAAAGAGTGAAATGGAAAAAACTTGAGTATATATTGTAAGTTACATAACAAGACAGATGATTTACATGCTGGATGTCATTTAGCCCTCAGTCAAGCTGAGAAGACTCTGTTTTTGCCTCTTTATAAGCATGGCAACCAAGGATTTCTGGTTCTACCACAGTAAGTGAAAATAACATCTGAAACCAGCTGGACTCTCCAAGCATCACGTTATGGCATTGCTACCCACCATACTGACAAGTGAGAACACAGGGAAAGCTCTACTTTCAGCAACAAGATCTAGTGATGCCCATAAGAAAGAACTGAAACTAAAAATTAAAATTAAAACTGAGAATAAGTACGTTTGGTCTACTTAACAAACCTTGGGGCTCAATGCCTTGATTTTCCATGCCTTCCTTGCCCGTCTGCCCAACCTGGTAGTAAGCACTATCTGCTCCACGTAAGGTCTCTCTCTTCTGTGAAGACAGATCAGGGCTTTTCCCTGCTGTCCCTCTGAAGAAAGACAACATTCCAGAAGCCTTCTTTGCTGAAAATAAGAAGTAACATTAATTTTAAGTACAGGTTGTTGTAATAAAAAATTTCAACTTTGTTAGCAGTTACCACTATATATACCTAGTAAACCAGAGTTACAGAAATATTTTTATTTGCACAGATTATCCCATATGCTGTTACAGGTGTTGTTTTTAGGTAGTTAAGTGCCCTTATTATCAGAACTAGGAGAGTAGGGCTCAGCTAGCTGAATATCACAGTGTGAGAAATGTTCCAGAAGGCTCTTCAAAAATGTTTTTCAGCCAGGCTCTGGTGGCTCACGCCTGTAATCCTAGCTACTCAGGAGGCTGAGATCTGAGGATCTCGGTTCAAAGCCAGCCCGGGCAGGAGAGACCATGAGACTCCTATCTCCAATAAACCACCAGAAAACCGGAAGTGGCGCTGTAGCTCAAGTGGTAGAGTGCTCGCCTTGAGCTGAAGAGCTGAGGAACAGTGCCCAGGCCCAGAGTTCAAGCCCCATGACCGACAAAAAAAAAAATGTTTTTCAACCATACCATGAGCAAGGGTAAGTTAATTTTGATAATATTTAATATAGTTAAAAAGTAAACACAAAACTATTTCAAAAGCTAAATTTTAATAAATTAACGTTTTTTATCTTGTGTTCCTGTATTTTAACAGGAAAACCTTTTGCATATAGCATCTTTCAAAATTGAACACTACAGGATGTCCAAGAATTTATGAAAGTTTGTTCTTTAGTTTTCTTTTTTCTTTTTTTAAAGTGGTATTTTGATTGTTTTTAAGTAGTTTTGCGAAGGAGTTAAATTCACCACAGCATTTATGAATACAGTGCATCCTGATCAATGTCACCCCTGTCAACATTCTCACTCACCCCTCTCAACCCAGCTCTTCCCTCCCTTATTTTTTTAAGTTATGTATTGATTTTTTTGCCATTTAGTTTTATTTCTAGTCTTTAGTTTCAATCATGTTATTAGTGTTGATTCTAATACTGTAAATTCATCAATTACATTATTATCTTGTTGTTATTCTCAGAAAATATAGTTCATCATCTCAACTCCAATGTGGATTCTTGCAAGAAAAAAGAGTTTTTTGTAGGGGGAGCTATGTGTAGAGGCCAAAGAAACAGATCATGGCTTGTACCAGGGTACACTGCTGCTACCTTCATGATCTCTTATACAGGTACAGGTGCCTGTAGGACTCACTTCTGACCACTAGACTGAAGGAGGCAAAGATAATATAGTCGCATAATACAAGACAACAGGTACACCTTGTCCCCTTCTCTCCTGCTCTCTGTCTCAAATGTAAATAAAATCAGAATATTTTTATCTATGAGGAAAACTTAAGACAATCCAAGAGAAACTATCCACTATATATTGTTATAAGAATACTGTGCAGGGTTGGGAAGGTGGCTCAGTGGTAAAACGCTTGCCTTGCATGCATGAGGCCCTGGGTTCGATTCCTCAGTACCACATAAACAAAAAGAAAAAGGCTGGAAGTGGCACTGTGGCTCAAGTGGTAGAGCACTAGCCTTGAGCTGAAGAGCTGAGGGACAGCGCCCAGGCCCAGAGTTCAGGCCCCAC